GGCAGTATAGTGGGTAGGGGGGCAGTGAGGTGGGTAAGGGGGCTGTGAGGTGGGTAGGGGGGCTGTATAGTGGGTAGGGGGTCTGTGAGGTGGGTAGGGGGCTGTGAGGTGGGTAGGGGGCTGAATAGTGGCTAGGGGGGCTGTGAGGTGGCTAGGGGGGCTCTATAGTGGGTTAGGGGGCAATATAGTGGGTAGGGGGGCTGTAAAAAAGTAAATACCTTTCGTGTCCTCTTGGTCCGGTGGGCAGCTTCCCAGTAACGTGCATGGGGGCGGAGCTTTGAGCGGGAGGCGGAGCTTCCGTTTGGGGGCGGAGTATGCGGCTATAATGATTTCAGACTGTGCAGGGAGACTGACAGGTCTCCCTGCAGCTGCTGGCAGCCACACCAGCCACACCAGCCCCCAGCTCCTCCCTCCTTCCTCCCCTCGGACTGACAGGCTGGCACAGTCCGAGGGGAGGATTTATCAGAATGATCATTAAGGCGGTCAGCCCAGCCCCAGCTGGGCCAGTCCGGGCCTGCCACCCACTCTCTCAAACGGGGGATTTAGCTGTCCAAATCCCTACCGCCCACCAGGAATCCTGAAACGCCCACTAGTGGGCGGTAGGGACCAGGTTGACGACCCATGATCTAGTGTAACTAACTTAATATGAGTAAGTCAGTCTCCTGCCCTCATTTCTTAGTGTCACTAATCTCTGCTCCTTAGTCCTAAATTCTACACAGCACAACCCACAGACAAAGCACTGACAAGGTATTACATGTTTTCTGGATTTATATACTGTTTTTCAGCATGAAAATAATACATTTACTGCACCCTAATTGGCTGGTTTACCTTTAAACAGCCACAAATTAGGTGTTTTCCTTTGAAGTTAAATTGATTCTCAGTATTCGCGTGCATTAGCTAATGCTTGTTGTGAGAAGAAAGGTTGATATCACATGTTCCCTTTTTTCTGTTCCCAGAAGTCAATTTATAATGTGAATTACTGACATTAAAGAAATGTAAAGATATATTTAAATGGTGTATGGGATGTATACACATTAATATAGATCTACTTAAAACCTCATCTCAGGAAATAAACATGGTCTTTATATATTACTTAAATACAGAAAATATGAAGTATGGTCCTCTTTTCTGATAATGTTTTCAATAGAATAAAGCAATAATTACAAAGCATTTATCTCATGCAATACAGCGTACAAAAACAATCATTCACAGCTAATGAATACTATCTATTTAATGAATAGATTATTCTTCCTGCTTTGTTAAGGTGCTTATATAGCATCTTATTATACTAATATTACATATCTACAATGAACAAATATGTTGGCTTATAACATTTTGTTAGTAAATGTTAGAAAAAAAGTATGTGAACCCTTTGGAATGATATGGATTTCTGCAGAAATTGGTCATAAAATGTGATCTGATCATCATCTAAGTCACAACAATAGACAATCACAGTCTGCTTAAACTAATAACACACAAAGAATGAAATGTTGCCATGTTTTTATTGAACACACCATGTAAACATTCACAGTGCAGGTGGAAAAGGTATGTGACACCGTGAAAGCTTTGGGAAGTTGTGGTTATACTGTTAATTAAAACTCCCTACAGAAACAGAAATGGAAGTCATGTTATAATGTTCATCAGTTTTTATGGATGAGAAACAATGCAGGCTGGGAGAGATGGAGGAAAAGAGTTGGTTAATAGAAAGAGTAGGTTTGGTCAGGGAGGTGTGCTAACACC